TTTTTTTAAGATTAATCTTGATATTTGGAGGACATATGTGCAGGTGAGGGCAGGTCATTTGATCAAGTTCCAATAGCGTGTAAAAATGCTGTAGCAATCTTTTTCATGTTTGATCTTACCAGCAGATGTACACTCAACAGGTATCTACGTATATCATTTAATTAAGTGAGATTTTAAATAATCTTATCCATTATTTCTTCCTAATTAATTCCATTCTAGATTAATTAATTGATAAAAAAAAACAAGATATATAATTCGAGCCTCGAGGTTATGTCTGATTCTGGTAAAACTCAACTCGCCTTCCAAAGTCAGAAAATCTCAATACCCCTTCAGATTTTGAAGTGGAGAATGAAATAATTAATTAACATATTTTATTTTCTGTAAATTGACTAAATTATGGGGTTGAAGTAAATAAAAGTAATGAAATTTTGTGTTTTGCAGTATAATTGGATGGTACAAAGAAGCTAGAAAGTGGAATCAGGTAGCCGACTGACATGGCTTTCACTTTAAGCTAACTATTTTACAAATTTCACTAACACCCACCATCTTCCCGTTCATTCTTTTTCTATATTTTACAGGTATTTTATTTTTCCGGTGTTGGAACATAAAATTATATATAAAGCCGAGTTTAATAGTTGTTTGTAGTAAAGTTATTTAATTAAAGTTATTTACTTAAATCAATGTCAACCAAGATTGGAATTATTATGTTTTTAACTTTTTATGTAAATCAACATAACTAATTAAACCGAAAATTTCGACAGTATACTCTCTTTGACTGTAACGACTTCCAGGATTGGAAAAAGCAATATACTGAAAAAATCAAAATTGGGTAATTTTATATATTTATTAATAAAAAAAAATAAGTGGATCAAAAAANNTCCCGTAAAGAAATCAAAATTGGCAGCATTCACCAAAAATGTTGATTTATCTCGGAAAATTGTAAAAATATTTATTGAACGAGTTGATAAATGAAATGCTGTAAAATAAGTCACGAGTGAGAGTGATATTTCTATATTATTCTTTATATGTAGAGAAAACGATTATATGAAGAAGATTACTAGTGGAATTACCAAAACAATTGCCATTTTTGTGTTTGTGTTTTTCTTTTTTTAATTATTCTGATTTCTCCGCTTTTTTGTTCTTTATATTATTATTATAACTTGCAGACGGCAATTCCGGTAGTAATAGGGACCAAATTTGATGATTTTGTTCAACTCCCACTGGATATCCAATGGAGTGTTATCACTCAGGTACATAATCATCTATCTGTTTAAGACTTGAATTTATGCATGTAATGAAGCTGAAAAAAAAAATAGATGAATAATTTGTCTGGGAATTTTATGGTTCGAAGTTGTAATATTATTGTCATTAGTCATAATAATTTAGACATGGATTTTTCATTTATATATATATATATATATATATATATATTAATTATTATTACGTATGAATGAAATTGGTATGTGCTGCAGGCACGGACATATGCAAAGGCGATGAAGGCAACCTTATTCTTCTCCAGTGCAATGCACAACATAAATGTAAATAAAATCTTTAAGTACATCATAGCCAAGCTCTTTAATTTGCCTTGGACTGTAGACCGAAATCTTACTATTGGCGAACCCATTATTGACTACTGACTAATCAATCTCATCTTTCGGCTTCAACACTCGCACACACACATGAATTCTTATTATTCTTACATGCATAATCCAAACAAGCCAGTATGCAAGTGTTGGTCTATTGCATGTTGTATTCAACTTCAACTGAAGCCTACAGGCAACATACATCATTTATAAACTATTTTCAGACAAGCATGCTTAGCCAGAAGAACGTAACTGGCTTTAGGTTCGTGATCTACAAAAATCATATAAAGCAAAGTGACTCGAGGAAATAGACATGGTACGATAATTTGTTGGATTAATAGCTCTTTCGTCCTCAAACACGTTGATTAGATTTAACTTTGTGTTCACTATACCGTACAAGATGCAACATAACGGATATAAATGAAATAAAACGAGTATTTATCGAATAAATACTAACTTTATTGCTCACGTAGTGATTATAACGATCGAGTTCTTTTAAAATCACATAAAAATACGAATTTTAATTTGTAAAGGATTTTAAAAATTATCTTTAATTTTCTTCGAAGAGCAACGGTGGGGAGGAAATCAATTTCCGGGTATGTGGCTATCACTGTCTTTGTTCTTCTCGCCGTAGAGATTTATGCGTCTCCCCTCTAAGCAAGTCCACCCTTTCGATTCCAACACTGAGATAGCCTTTTTCACTAGTTGAAAATTATCTCGAGTCTCATTTTGTATTTGGAATCAAAATTGAGAAAGGAGAGATTTTTAATTTTTTTTTTTATTTTGTTCGAGAGTCTCGGTCTCACTGTCCAAGAACATCAAAACTGAGCCCTTTTAATTTCTGCTAAGTTCTAAAAAACGACTCAGGCAAATAAAAACATATATATAACGAATATATGTTTTATGTATATAGAGCACTCACGATGCATTGGATCTCTTAAAAAAATATCAAATACCATGTAGAAAATAGACTTACACTACAAAAAAAATGTTATATTCCCACGGAAAATTCTATGATAATATATTCTAATGGAAATTCCAACGGATATTCCAATGGTATAGCTTCCATTGGAATGATTCCAACGAAAATATTCCGTTGGAATGTATTTTTCATTGGAATTTTAGATAGAATTTGATGATTCCAACGGCTTTTGGCCGTAGGAATTTCCGTTGGAATATGCAATTTTCGTTGGAATTTTTATTTCCACCACTATTGGAAAATCTACCGTTGGAATCGTCAAAATCCAACGAAAAATTCAATGGAAAACTCATTCCAACGGAATATTTTTGTTGGAATTTATGTTGGAATAATTCCAACGGAAATAATAGTATTGAAATATCCATTGGAATTGCCGTTGGAATTCTATTGGAATATATTTCCGCTGGAATTTCATCATTTTCTTGTAGTGTTAGTATATAAAAAAATGTGTTCCAATACAATTAAAAGTGGACATTGTCAATCTTATGTGGCAATAAAAAAAGAGAGTTAGTCCACTCTTGAGTTTGGATCCAAGTACAAACTTGAACAGTCAACATATATTTCTAATTTATTTTTTCTTTTAATATGGTAAACATATTAGAGCATTTTTACTGGTTGACAAGTATTTTAGACCAAGAATTTTATTTTTGCACTTAATAGCTTTTTGGTTTTCATTTACTTTGGTTTGTCTATGTCATTCAGGACTTCAATTTATATGCCACATATATGAAATTGGACTCAATGCATTGTGGATGCTCTTAGAGTAGTGTGGTGGGTGTGGCGGAAAATCCTGCCCCACAAAACAACTTTTTTTTTTTTTAATTTAAATTAAAAGAAAGGGAAATGCTACCTCCATTACGGAACATTCCGTCGGAGTTTTTAACCGTAGATTATCTATCTTATACTAATCTACAAGTGTATCTAACTGTTAAAAAACCCCGACGGAATAGTTTCGTAACGGGATTGTAACATTTCCCTAAAAGATAATGATCAAAAGAATTAAAAACCAATGTTTCAATACTTGTTCAAAACCTTAACTTTCTTTCCTTATCTCCCGTACAATAATAACATCTCCTCTCTCATGTGGGCTTCTAATTAAACAAACATGTTAATTTGTGGAATTAAATTTTGAAACCGAACTTTAAAATCCAACTATTTACTTTAGTAATTCTAAGAACTACTCAATTAATATCCAAAGCTCAATCAACCAATCTAATCGATTAATTTATTCTATTTCTTTAATTAAAATATAATCAAAATTAGATTTAACTATATAATTAAATTATTTAATTAAGTCTTGTTGAAAATACTAATTTCAAAAATAATATCATCCAAAATTTAATGTAACCCTTTTAGAATAATTGTTCACAACCAATATTGAATTGAACTAACTGTTGTGAAAGACTGTAGTGTGATTTTGAATAATTTGGTATTTCAATAATGAATTACACTAGTACACCTCAAATGTATTGGATGAATCTACGGAAGGATAAGATTATTTTATATTGACCACGTAAATAATCTAGACATCAACAGTTGATGCGTTCTCTTAACCCGTAAGGCAATAAAAATACGCATATGTATTCAATACTTATTTATTTGATTTACCATGGGTAATAGTTACTCTGGTAGGTCAACAAACTCCATACTCTGGTAAATAATGTTGAATGCATGATGTATCGTAAAAATACGATCATCGTGTTTTAGTCTGTCGGATTAATGGCGTCCCAAAAAGAGCTCAAGAATGATTATTATGTCAAGCCCGACCGATGGATTAATTTTCGACATAATAATAAGGAATTAAGTTGTCCTAATTTCGAATCAAGAAATTGGTAAATTATATTGATAGTAATTAAATTAATCAACAGATGCTTGATCTTAAACATAGAGAGGTAAATAGAACAATTAGCCGGAAGATGAATAATCTGTTATTCAAGGGGTAAATGAGAAGTTCAATAATATATTTATAGTAATATTTTGATATTATTTAATTGTGTGTGGAGTGTATCAGACCCACAGTTGGATTTACAATTGAGGAGGTCAAATTTAGCATCTCCTTAAATCCCTATCTGTAGCTTATAAATTAACGAAGTCTCTTAGCCTTCATGTGAGTTCCACACGTTATAAATTAGATATCTCAAGCAAATAAGATTGATAAAAAACCGTGAGCAAGAGAGGGATGAAAACTTTAGGAGATCTAATATCTTGTCCACCACGACGAATCGGAACAGGTGATCGGTCATACAACAGAAGATCCCAAAGTTTTACGCTGGTGTTCTGGTGCATATAAATATCCCCACGACACATCTGATGACCACCAAACTGGTGGTCGGGAGGTGATCGGTCATACAACAGAAGATCCCAAAGTTTTACGCTGGTGTTCTGGTGCATATAAATATCCCCACGACACATCTGATGACCACCAAACTGGCGTGCCCGACCACCGTACGCGGCAAGACCACCGGCGGCAGTGGGCGCATACCAACGCGGTGAGGCAGCACCAGCCACCAGTAGGCTACACCCACATGCGACCGCGCAGGCAGCGCGCTACACCCCGCGATCGCGGAGGCAGCACGCATGATACCCGACGACGCAGCAGGCAACACGCATGATACCCGACGACGCAGCAGGCAACGCACGTGGCCCAACGACCAAGCTTCCTCCGACAACTCCCTGTGACAACGACGCTCGACAATCGAAGGGCTACGATCGACAACTTGATGAGGGCAATGCATGAGAGTGGACGTGAAGTAGAGGATGCGACTCAAAACCGTTCGTTTGACCTCGTAAGTCGTGTATGTCTGTACATAGTTGACAAAATTTTAAAACCTAAGTCCTCAATCCTACTATAAATTCCACTACGTTAGGATTTATTTCGATAGAATTTGAATGTGCACTTAGCCGACGTTTGTCACAGAACCCAATAATATATACATACGGTTCATTATCAACTTCATCCCTTGACTTAAGCATCGGAACTCCTACATCGAGACCACTCCAACACTTGTTTTGCGGTTATTCACCGGCTCATGAGCAGTTCAAAGGATGTTCAACCGAGTCGAGGTCGTTTACACTACCACCGCAAATGATCGGTCTTCATTCTTGGCGACACATGTGCGATCTCGCCACTGTCACTTTGGTACAAAACAAGAATCATGTCATTGCATCAACCTAATTAGACTGTATATGACATGCATAGGATAGGACATAGAAGAAAGTCTTCAATAACTCTTATTATTATATACAAGCAAGCCGCTACCCCACTCGATGTTGGCCATGGACCATGGGCAAATTTATCTCATCATCTTTTAGGAAAGCAGAAGATCTTCATACTTTACGTTCGTTTATTGCTGGCCTTCACCGGATATTCCTGCATGCATGGTCTTCATTGCTTGGCCTGTAAAATATGTAAAATATGTATGTTGGTCACAGAAGGTAAGATGGTTATCTAAATGACTAATGGGAACGCACATGTGAACATCATAAAGACAACTAGTAATCATTGGAGAAAACAAACGGTTGAATAGAAAACATGTTGGTTTTGTTTGTGAGAGTCAACCAGAAGTAAAAACATAAAAACAAGGTACCCACACTCTGATTAAATTGTGTACCTTTGTAATATAAGTGCAGAAACTACAAATTAGAAAAACAACTTTACAATAAGAAGAAATCGATTAAGAGAAAAAGAACTTTTCAAGACAGTATATCCATTATCCCATATATGATGTTGAGAATGAAAAGGAAAACCATCCATCAAATTATTCGATATAACTGTTCCGCAATAACCAGAGTTCTCGTTAAGACATGCATATATAAATTAACTTAGAAATTGGAGGAAATTCAGAAGAGAATAAAAAAAGAGAAACACTGATTAAGGAGATTAGACAAAAAAAGAACAAAGAAAGGCTAAATTAGTACACCTCGTAGGATGCACCATCATCGAGTTTATATGTATCCATAAAACTTTCCTCTATCAGTAGAAAAGACGAATACAAGATTCCACAATAATTTTTTTTTCTTTCTTCTTTTTTTTGGTAAATTTCACATTCAGTACCCAAAGTAAGGTTGAATTTTAACACTTAACACCAGCACTCCACCTTTATTGTCTTTCAAATTTGAAACCCAAACTCTGAAAATTGACAAAGTTGATGATACCCTACCGCAAGTAATACACAAAGTTGTCCTGCGTGTGTGCATTTTTTAATAAAATTTGACGATGGAATTTGTTTACGAAGGCCCATAAGCATGAGGCAACATGTTATTGTAATTTATTTTATTGTTTCCCGAGCATATATATACCAATATATATAAAAAAAAAAGGTATATTAATACTATCAGTCTAATTACATTTCTTTCATACATCAAATAAGGAAAATAAATAAAACTTTATATCTCGAGTATTCAAGACAAAATTTATCATTTTTGTTTAAAAGGTATCGATAATGAAAGACAACAGAATAACAAACAACAAGAAGCTTGGCATATTGGATAGCCGCCATCATCTTGCGCAAGTCAAAGCATTTACAGAGACAACATTTCAGACATAGTTATCATGAAAATGAAAACCCATAAAAAGGCAAGAGTTAGCAAATACCTGAGAATACAAGAAAGTTCCAAGAATTGCAATAGCGGCTCCAAGAGCATTAACAGGTTGTACGGGTGTCCGGAAGATAATGATAGACGAGACAATGACTGAAATACGTTTCATAGTATTTCCTATGCTAAATGTCAAAGGAGAAATCTCGTCCAGTGACATGTACGACACTTGATTGTATAGGTGATAAAATACACTCTGGGCTGCCATCCACCTAAGTGCAATATCAACCACACAATAAATATAATCAGAAGGAAACAATACAAAAAAATGCACAGAAAGATAAAAGTGGATGAAATGAATAGATGAAAAGCCCAGATTTTGAGAAGAATCAAAAAATCGTGACTATTCCCTGAACTCCAACATTCATTCTAAATAACAAATATGTAAGGTAAACTTCAAATCTTGTAGGATATATCATAATAGCTCCCACATAATATAAATCACAGGTTTACACAACTATCAAATTGGGTTCATATGAATGGATATGAAAATGTGTTGCAGAATAAAATACACAAGCCAGTTACAGGACAAAAGAGAAATGAGGATGGGTAGTCTGGTAATTACCAAACAATCTGGGGTCCAATTTGAGATAGGGCTTCTTCAAAACCTGCTGCCCACAGCTGTGGTCCCTCAACAGCAATTGCAAATGGAGTGAGAATTAAGAGAGACATGATGGATAAGCAGGCGTAATAGTTCATTCCGCTGACCGATTTCCCCTTCATACCCCTCTTGGAAAATATATTCCGAAATACAAAAGCCAAGTTCGAGATCATGGCCCCCATAAAACCTGATGATGTTGGCAGCAAACAAACCACCACATGAGCACATCAGAGAAAACAAGTATTTCCCATTAACACCCTCAAAAATAACTCAACACAAATTTTTATTTTATTTTTTGTTTTGTCAAATAACTCTGGAGATTGTCAAATCCCTACCAACTATTTGAACAAGAAACATGTGATCTGATGAAATTGCTAATGCAACTTGAGAAAATTCAAAAGTAAGCTACAGGAAAAGGTGAAAGTCACAACAAAAGAAAACGTTAAAGTGAACTATTTACCAATCACGTTAAAGTTAAGCTCGGTGAGAGCAGCCAGACCACAGCCACCGATAATCGGAAGAAGGGACAAGTAAACTGATGGCGGAAAAGTCTCTCCCAGAATGAATCTTGAGACCAAGACACTAAAAGCAGGCTCACCACTCTTGATAATGTGTGTAAATGAAACTGCCACTTTAGACATACTCACGGTTGCTGCGACATGTCCAATTGTATGAGCAATAGCAACCTAAACATCAACCACCCAAACAAAGTTAGAAAAAAATTAAAACTTCGATCTTTCTGTAGAAAACAGGAACAAGAATTGTAGAAAAATCACAAATTTGTGAACCCAGACGGTGAAATGCTCCAAATAAAAAAAATGAAGAGAATAAGAGCATATGTAAAAATAGTCCGTTAAAATTGACTAGAAACCAAAAACCACAAATTGACAAAACAAAAACCCCCCACAGTATAAAAACCCCAGATCGCAGAAACTGAGCTCAAAACTATAAAACCCTGAAAAATTCTCACCGGGAAAAGGGATTTCCAGAAATCGAGATCAGTCTTTGGAGTCTCCGCTATTCTGAGCGCCCACGAAATCAACATTATGAGCGACCCAGTTGCCAACGACAGCGTCGATGTTAGCCAGGGAAAGGGATACGCATTCAACACCTTCTTGTTGTAGATGTTGAAAATCACGTTCAAGCCCCACCAAGTGGCGAAATAAATTCCGATCTTCAACCTCCTCGCCGACTCAGCCGCCGCCACCGCCTCCGGCTCGCCGATAGGCTCCGATCCGTCAGCCTCGTAAGCACCGGGCGTGATCGGAGATCGCTCCTCCTTCTCTCTGCTGTTCGAAAACCCCAAAACCACCCTCGAAACATGGAGCGGCCTCGAGAGAGAAACGGCGGAGCTCCGGCGGGTTTTCTCCGCCGCCAGAAGAGGCAAGGCCGGTGAGCGCTGGCCGAGGGGCTTCCTCACCAGCTGGAGAAAATCCGAGCCATGGATTGGTAAAGTTTGGTGCTTGAGCGAAGAGATCATAACAATAATAGTAGCAATAAATCAAAGAAAAAATGTAAATAGAGTGCAGAAAGATGAGAAAGCTTCAGCGAAATTATTGATGGCGGGTTTGACTAGAGAAAGCTGCCTAGGATATCAAAGATTTTTTTTGGCGTTCCTATATAGAAACTGCAGAAACTGCCGAAGGGGCGAACTGGAGAAAAGGTTTGTTTCACGGCTTTGGGAGTATCTATGAAAGGCCGAATAAGAGCCTCTCTAGTCATTCTATTGTTCTATTCTATCAGTTTTGTTATAAATAAATACAACAAATAAACTTAAATAACACTAATGTAATTTTATTTATATGGTAAATTTATTTGTTGTATATTGAAGGTTGGCTCCACTATGGAGCCAACTGTTGACTTCATAGCAAAACCGTCTATTCTATTGCTACATGGCACAAACAATCGTATAAGACATGAAAAATGTCTAGAAGGTCTTCTAGATGTAGAAGCCATTCGAAAATACTTCTACTATTTATTATGTATTGTTTATTTATTTTTTCTCTCTTCTTCACCCAATAATAATTTTACACATCATAAATGACACCACAATTCACACTAACCATTGGAGACATAATTTTTTTATTTCCTTTTTCCATGCCATTTAACACAAAATGAATAATTTTTCATTGGAGATACTCTAAGTTTTCAACACTGTTGATTTCTTCAGACTATTGCGGAACAAATTATAAAATGAATTATGTTTTAAATAGAACAACATAACAGATAAATGCAAAATATTTATGCGAAATTCTATGCACAAGACAGAGGAAGATAACTAATAAAGTACGAAATAATTATCCAATAAACTATACGACATACAAACGAAAATAATTGATAAATTCGATAATAGTGTGTGATAACATATGCGACAAACATGCGAAAAAAATTGATAAAGTGCGAAAATATTATGGGATAAAATTTTCGACAGACAGACGAAGATAATTTATAAAATGCGAAACATTTATGTTATATGATATGCCACACACAAGCGAAGATCATTAAGTAAGTGCTAAATATGCAACAGACAGATGAAGTTAATTGAGCAAGTGTGAACTACTTATGCGATCAACTATGTGACAGTCAGACGAAGATCATTGAGCAAGTGCGAAAACAATTATAGGATAAAGTATGTAATATATAGGCGAAGTTAATTGAGCAAGTGCGAATTACTTATGCGATCAACTATGCAAGAGATAATCGAACAAGTGAGATCTCATTATGCGATAAATTACGCGACGGACAGACGAAGATAATCGAGCTAGTGCGATGTCATTATGCGATAAAATACAAGACATACATGTGAAGTTCATTGATATGTGAAATAATTATGCGATAAACTATGCGACAAATATGCTATGATAATTGAGCTAGTGCGATGTTATTATGCTACATCTATGTGACAGACAGAAGAAGATAATTGATGAGGTGCGAAATAATTATGCGATATACTATTTCGACAAACAGACGAAGATAATCAAGCAAGTGCGATCTCACTATGCGAAAAGAATACTATGCTACAGAGAGGCGAATTGAATTAAGAAAGTTTAAAATAATTATGCGATAACTATACGACAGAAATGTGAATATAACTGAGCAAGTGTGATCTCGTTATACGATAAGATATGCAACTACAATCGAAATTAATTGAGGAAGTGCGTAAAATTATGTGATAAAATATGCGACATATAAACGAAGAATATGCAGAGAATTGTGTGAACAGTTCTGTCCATAGTAGACTGACATGGCGCAGACTGGCATGGTGTGGGACTCCTTGCGGGTGAACGAGGTCGCTGGGCTTCGCTCGCGACGTGTATATTTGCGTCCTGAGGTAGTTTTGCACAGATCATCGAAGGTCGGGTTAGTACTTTTTCCTTTTCTGTTGATGGCTCTTGAGATAATATGTTGCCAAAGCATCCCAAGGAGCATTACTGCACATATCAGTTATTGTTTTTGCAGCTCTGATTTTTTTTGCCAATCGTCGGGGTAGCTTGTGGTCCCGGATGACCTTGATAGTTTATCTCGACTCGTGGATAGGAGGTGGAGATCATGAACACCGACAAAATCTTGTGGTGCGACGGAGCATTGAGCCAGTGGGGCACGGGATCTTGAGGGGGCGGGGTTGGTTCGCCTCAAATGACACAACATGGTTCACCATGGACAAAATGAGAGGTAGGAAAGCTGAGAAGTGATGGGATCTTGTGGCACGACGGAGGAATGAACCAGTGGGGGTATGGGATCTTCATGGGGCGGGGTACTGGTAGCCTGAGATGGCGGAGCAGGGGACGTGGAGGACGGAATGAGAGGTTTGGTTTGGAGAGGAAATGGAGCATGGACGTGATTTTGAGCAGGAGGGTTTGGCTCATACGGCAGAACATGGGACGTGGACGACAAAATAAGAGGTTCGGTTTGGGGGAGAAATGGAGCATGGAAGGGATTTTGAGTAGGAGTGTTTGCCTCATACGACGGACCACGGGACGTGGAGGACGGAATGAGAGGTTCGATTTGGGGGCGAAATGGAGCATGGACGGAATTTTGAGCATGAGGGTTCGCCTCAGACAACGCAGTAGGGGGAGTGGAGGACAGTATGAGAGGTTCGATTTTGGGGGGAAATGGAGCATGGGCGGGATTTTGAGCAGAAGGGTTCGCCTCAGACGGCGGAGTAGGGGACTCTGAGATCGGAATTATAGGTATGGTGGTTTTATCCATATTTTTGCTTTATTGGTGGGGTGGGAGCGGGGGTGGGGGGTAAAATATCTGAAAGGATTGACATGACTATTGAATGATGCAGACTACTGCAGACCTATACACATATATATATACTAAAAAGTAGGGTTATGGTTTCTAAAATTTAATATTTAACACATTTTTTCTTTATAGAAGTCTTATTTGCAAGTTGTAACTTATCTATGTGAATAATGAGGCTGTTGAGCGGCCTGAGCTGGATTGGACTGAAAAGCAAGCATTGCTGCAGAAGCTATACCTGCTCGGTCACATCATATTTGTATATAAATTCAAATTTTATTCAATAAAGTTGTACTATATTAGAGCATCCGCAACGGGTGTTAATTTGCCCTGTTTAAACGCCATATTGCCGTTCATTTGCAATGAGGCCGTCCATTAAAGGATGTGTCCCCACTTGTCCATTCAATAGAATGAACGGCACTTTTGTGCCTTATTTTTATTATTTTTTTTTCATTTATTTATAATGCACTTTGGGTGCTATTTTTTGTTTTCATTTAATTTTAATCATTTTTTTTCTTTTTATATATTTATATTTTTAATGCACTTTGGGTGCCTTTTTTTTTGTTTTCATTTGATTTTAATTCATTTTTTTTCTTTTCATATATTTAATCATTTTTTTCTTTTGGTCTTGTAGTGTTCTTTTATTTTCGTGTATTTAAATTTATTATTATAATTTAAAAATATTAAATTTTTATTTTTATTGAGAATAGAATATTAAAATTTATATTGAATAAATAAATAATGGGTTCTTATTTATATTAAAATTTAATATTCTATATTAAAATTTATATAGAATATTGAGAATAGAATATGTATTTAAATGAATGTATATGAATGTGGGCATGTGTTTAAATGGAGAGAGATTTCGTGAAAGTATGATGTGGATGAGAGAGAATGTTACTTTTTGATTGAATGAATGGTATTTGAGAATTTGGGTTGTGGATGCCCTTAATCTTTCTTTGTTACGGTATTTTATTATCAACTTTTTTTAGTAATTCGATGCATACAAAACTATTTATACTAACCGCAACATTTTAAACAGCATTGGTTACTTTGGGCAGCCAATTATATTCATATTCAATTACTTCATAAAATACCCCGACACGTTACTTAAAATGTTGATACAATATTTAGATTTTTCATTAATCTATATCTATATACTAATGATAATTATTTGGCAAAAATAACATGTTAAACTAAAAAAGAATTAATGAATAAATACATAGTTTGGTTATCCTAAATGAAAAAATAATAATATTTTGTTATTTATATATTTTAGGTCTTTACAACTAAAAATAATATAAAAATATTACCTACAATATTAAACTACTAAATATATGTTCATGATATAATCTATAAATTGTTTCGATTATTTATGTTAATTCGGTTATTCGATCAAATAAACCAACAATTTTGTTCAGCTTTTAGTTTGGTTTGGGATAAATCATAAAAAGTGCATGCACTGCGATTGCCCAACTGCGTTAGACGAAATGCACATTAATGACTATCGTATTGTACCATAGTGATCGAAATCGATCGAACTAAGTTTTTTAAGTCTGAAATTTTATAATTGGTTCAATTATTTGTTTTTCACTCTTAAAATTTTGGTTATACATATTATGTTTCTTTCAACTACATAATATAAAATATTAAATAAATATATTTATTACAATATAAATCTTAATTTATTTCGATTGTTTTACAATCGTAAGTTGCGCGGTGGAGGCCTCAACTGACCAATAAACATCTCATTAATTTCGTCAAAAATAAAACAAAATTTTTAACGTGCATTTCTGATACAATTTTGTGCAATTTCTTTATCATTATTGTGCATTTAATATATTTATTATAAATTATAGATTTGACCCATAGGTTGAATTGAAATTTAATAAAATTTTTATAATTGCAACTAAGTCCCTGTATTTAATAAAATTCTCACATGGAGGCCCCAACTCTTGAAAAAAAAAATTCTGGTCGTCCTCCATTGCAGCTTCCTTCGCCTGCAAAATCGTCGTCGTCTGCTCCTCCATGTGGACCGATTACACGCCTTTGGAGAACGTCCTCAAAACGGACAAGTTCCTGAAGTCTCGAAACCCAAAATTGTGGCATATGAAGAGGACGACGGAATGTGAAGGGTGGCTGAAGGACGCAACGGCGGCATTCGTGACGAGAGTTTTCTCGTATGCAGCAGCGTTTTTGATGTTACGACGGAAAGTCGTGCCTCCTATGTGGAAGTTGTTTCTGGCGAGAGCCATTGTAGCGGGTGGACCTTCGGCCACGGTGGCGGCTGCGTTGTCGTGGCCGACGACGCCAACATCGACGGGACCGACGGTCTGGTGTACGGCAGCGGGCAATGAGACATGAGAGGAGGATGTCTGGTGGTAGCAGGTTGAATTCTGACGTGTGTGTGTGTGTGTGTGTGTGGAGTGTGTGAGTGTGTGCATGTTACTATGTGTGTTTAGTGTGAGAGAGAATAAATGATGGGTGAGTTGTTGGTGGGGCCCGCTGTAATGGGTGGATAATGAGTTGTAATTTTGTGTAATGTCCGTTTTACCCTTACTTAGTAGTCAAAAGTAAGTATTTGACCATAATCTGTACATATAATTATAAGAATGTCATTGCATATTTGACTACCATTAATAACATTTGATTTGATAATGACTATTGATTTGATAGATCAATTGTACAGTTTTATTCTTATTTCTTTCACTATCTACCATTCTCATATGATCTCATCTCAATATGTAAAATTATATAAAATATTATATATTATTCTTGAAAAATGTGAAGTTACCAATTTTTCTCTAAACTATTTTGTAAGAAATATATATATATATATATATATATATATGGGGATGAGTTCACATGAGAATTGTTCTCAGTGAAAGAAATGAGAATAAATCTTAACCATCAGATTGGATCATCCAACAGATTAAAAAAAGACCAAAATTGTACCCTCATTAAGGGTATTTTAGACAATTTACATATCACCATAAAACAAACCTCATGTGTAGGCCCCACATACTAACCCACCATCACTCATCCCTGTTATCTATTTCTCTCTTTCGCAGAAATGTCTATCTCCTTCTCACAGCCGCGGGCGCCCGTCCCCGATGAATCCACAGACCTCTGTTAGCAGCCCGACGACCGGCGCACCACCGACACCGGCAAATAGCATCTTCCGTCTAGCCGCCACCTCCGATAGTTCGATGGTCCACCGTCCGCGAGTGCACCACCACTCGTCGTTGCTCTCGAATATGTTGCCGCCGCCATCTTGCAACTTCTTCTCCACAACGATGGGGACAACGAACATCTTCCGCCCATAAAAACGAAGCCACGACCTCCAGGACATTATTGGCCATTGATACACGAGTCGGAATTCCCGCGCAGCAGCTCAATGTCGGCAATCCTGGGCAACAAAAACGAGATATCTGGTGTTTGAAGAAGCTACCGGTGGTCAGACAGGCGGAAGACGATCGCTCATGGTTGTCTGACGTGAAAGGTCCGATCAACTCATCCACAGCCATGGTCGGACGCCCTTTTTTTCTTTCGAGTTGCGACGGCCAGACCGACAGCTGTACATGGTGGCTTCAATTGGCGACTCTCCAGTGGTCGGGACGGCGGTGACGGAGAGGTGCTTTGAACGTCACTGCAATTTTTATCCTAGGGGCTTAATATTGGAAATTAGATGAAGTCAAAGGACTTATATGCAATTTTTGTAATTTTGATTAAATTATAATTTAGTACTTGGATTGAATATGTAATTTATATAAATATGATAAATGCACATTAATAGAAGAAAAGTCCACAATATTGATTATTTATATGAAAATTAAAAATGTATGCGATGTGAAATGCACAATTGTGCTAGACAATATGCACAATAATTTATTTGAGATTGCACTTTAGCGTAGCACAAATGACTGAAATATCCCATGAAATATCCTGCTTGTGAAGTAAAAAAAAATCCCCATATGTTTTGGTTTTTTTCACATTTAAATTTTTTATTGTTTTGGTTCGAAATCGACATTCTTTTTAAAATAACCAAAATATCCGAATCAACTGATCTGTGTAAGCAATATTATTTTTTACATCATATACACGATTCAGTTTGATACGTCAAATTGTCTTGGACCGCTGAACCGCTCCTCTCGAACCGGTTTGTTCTTCCTAAATCGCCGATAACCTGCAAAACACGTTGGGGGTGGTCCCGGCATGAACACTCTGATGCTCAAGTCAATAGGGTATTCAAGAAAAAGTGGTAGGAATCACAAGACAAACGTATGCGTGTATATGAGTGTGTTGTGTAAAAATAATGAACTTGTGCCCTTTTATAGGTGAGGTTGTGCCTGGGTTGAAGAGTTCTTGCTGGACCAGAAGTCTTTTTGATGTCTACCTCTAAATTAGGTCAGATATCTCAAATCTACAGAGTCTTTATTGCTATAAACTTCCTCATGACTTTGTCGCGAAGTCACCTCCAAGCCCTAGTCCCTTCGGAAAAAAACCTTAGCCAAGGTGTCTATGTGCCGAGATGCCTAGGTGCCGAGGTGCCTAAGCGTCAAGCTGCCTAGGTGATCACATCCGCCTAGCTCATCAATCTCTGTTATTCCGCCGGAGTGCTTACGCAAAGTTAGTCTCGCCTAGCTCCTACTCATCTGAAATCCATACTTACACATGCAAGCCCCCAGAGGTGCCTAGGTGATCTTATCCGCCTAGCTCACCAACCTCTGGTATTCCACCTAGCTTACCAACCTCTGGTATTCCGCCTAGCTTACCAAGGTAAGCTCTGGTATTCTGCCTAGCTCACCAACCTTTGGTATTCCGCCTAGCTTACCAACTTTTGGTATTCCGTCTAAGTACTCGTGCTAAGCTAGCCTCCCGCCTAGTTCCTACTCACCTAAAAGGTGCCGAGGAGGATGCTAGCACCGAGCTCCTCCACCTCGCGGGAGATCGCGCTGAGCTGCAATTAACCCTCGGCCCATGCCAGGTCCTCCACGAACCGCTATCTATGGCAGTATCAGTAGGCATTGATAATTCTTTGTTTCGCAAAAAATATGACTGTATTTTTTTCACCAAAATGATAGATAATATTATAAATCAAAATGCACAAATGTTCGAATACACACCCTTAGCTTAATGGAACAACCAACAGCAGAAAAAGTGGGAGGACAGGTCAGAAGACCGCGTAGAATCCTGACACTAGCAAAGCTAGAATAACAAAACTCACAACTACACAAAACCAACTACACAAACATAAACGAAAATTACTAAAAAAGATCCAACCAGGATAATACCCGAGTATCTGATCTCAACAGGATAATAAGACGACATTCAGGTAAAACAGAGGCCAACGGCCCAGTCCAAAAACACAAACCAACCAACAAAACAAAAAACAACACAGAAACAAAACAAAAAAAGACAATACGGGCCCTTCCACAACAACAATTCCAAGTCGAACCTGCGGTCACCAAATCGACCCAAGGGGAGTCCCTCAGCCCAAGAAAGTCGACCCCTCCACTGTCGAACCGCCTAGCTAAGCCGAATCCCGAACATCGTGAAACACCCAAAAGCCAATTCTCCCCGAAGTCGAAACACCGAGATTGCACCCAATCACCGCAGTTCCGAGCCGACTAACACCACTAACGAACTCAGCACCCTCGGAAAGCTCCCCGAAACCCAACGCCAGAGAACCAGGGAGAGGGCAAAGACCCGATCTCACGGCCCCAGCCACTTCTATCCGAAGCCGCAAGCTGTCGGAGCCACACCCGACCCTGTCCCACTAAACCGCACCCCGCCCTTCTCTAACGCAGTATCCTAGTGGCCTGCAATCTGAAGCCTAGACGAACCTTACCAGAGCAGGCGAAATCGAACCCAGGAGGCCGAGCTCCTCCACCGGAACACCAGCCGAAACATCAGGGAAAAGGCGCAGCAACAGGAAACGGGGTCGAGCGGCCAGAGGACGAATACCGGCGAGGCCTGAAAATTGAGTGGAAGGCGATAAGGCTCTGGATCGGCGGCAGACGAGTGAAATTAGGGCATGAGAGAGAAATTAGGTAAAGCAGGAAAAATAAATAAATAAAATTTTATGACTGTATTTTTAAAGTGCATGTTCTCACGCAATATTGTGCAATTTATGTATCATTATTGTGCATTTGATGAACTCTTATTAAATTACATATTTGCCTCACATAGTAAATTGAAATATATTGATTTTTTTTTTTTTATCGTGAAAAATACTATTTTAATATTTCTAAGTATTTATTGGACTTCAAACCACGTTTAAAATTGGTGTTCAATTGCATTTCACCACTAATGAGGGAGAATAATCTATCCATAAAATTGGTCTTCCATAAAGTTGCTGAAATATATTGAATTTTAATAATTTTAGAATATCACTGGTGAGTTGTCTCACATCGTTTATACAAAGAAAATAGGCCTGACTTATAAGCCTAGTTGGCTACACTTCCTACCACCAATTGGTTTTTGGATGGAACCTCACTTGGGCTTCATCTGGGCTTTTCCTTGTTGGTGCGCTTCATCTGCATGAGACTGCACCCGTTTCACCCCCGATTCTTACATACGAGAGAAAGCCAAGATGAAGCTCAAGTGAGATTCCATCTGGTTTTGGGATGGAACCTCACTTGGGATTCATCTGGGGTTTCCCTTGTATGGTGCGCTTCATTTTCGTGTGACCGCACCCGATTTGCTCCTGAATTCTTACATGGTGTCAGAGCCGATTCTATGTAGGATCGTGCGATGACGTACCCATCACCCAGCCCAGTTTGGCTTGGGTCACCCAGTCCAGTTCGGATTGGGGATCGTATGAAGGACTCACAAGTGAGGAGGCGTATTAGAATATAATACCCACTTGTGAGGCTTTCCCTGTATAAACGATGCGGGACAACTCACAAATGGTATTATATTCTAATAAATAAGTTGCAATTAGGTCCCTAGAACATCTTAACTTCACAAAACAAAACCCCACAATTCATATGACTCCTCACCCTAAAAAATTACCAACCGCCGGCCACATCCACCAACCCAACCGGTTGGTCACCGGCACTTTAGTCTTCTCCGCCGTCGTCCTCGCCAACCAGGCCCCAAGGTTTCTTCCTCTGCAACGCCAACCCAACTCATTCCTCTGCACCCATAAAAAAAAAAAAAAAGAATCAGCCATTCGTTCACTCGCTCAACGCCGATGACGATGGCTCGTTGCGGCTGTGACGGGACTATTCGCGTCGACCGACACACCTTGTGTGTTCGTGAATGTGTGTCATACGTGGTGGATCCAGAAGGAGAAAACGATGTTGTTCTCGGTTGCGGCAGAAGGCGGAAGATCTTGTGGCAGGTAGCCTCGGCCGGGTGGGGGAAGAGTTTTGATGGCAGCAGCGGACGTCTATGGCCGGCGGTGGTCGCGGTGGCCGGCGGTTGACCACTGTGTGTGTGCGTGTGGACTCTATGGACTGGCGGACTGTTGTCCATTAGCTTGTTGGATCCAATGTCCAGATTTATTCTCATTTATTTCCTTATCTTCTATTCTCATTTGATATATATGTATGTATACATAAGGGATCATATGAGAGAGAGATAATGAAAGATATAAGAATGAATGTAAGCCTTTAGATTTAGCAAATCAGTGGTGATGATCAATTCAAACTTTAATAATATAGTCAAACATGTAATGGCAATAAGGTAAATAAATTGACATATTGTGGTTAAATATTAGCATTTGACCACTTATTAGGGATAAATTTTTCATTAAAAATAATAACCGATGTGACCCACTTATATATTATTAAATTCTTAATCCCACCCATCATCCCCCACCCCCGACCTGCCCGTCCCGTCTTTCACACACACATTTCACAGAACACACACTAAACACACATTTTACACACACAGTTCTGTATCACCGGCTCAACAGCCAATGCCACCCGCTGGAATCGATATCGGACGCCGCACGTCGCCGCCAGACGCCATAATCGTCTCCATTGGCGACGAAGATTCCATAGTCGGAGCTTCAACCGTCCGCCGGCTGAAGGCTGGGTCAACAAGAGCCGTTGTCGACCTCTGAACAAACTTCACGCCAATCGACCTCCGAACAAGCTTCACGCCGGTCGACCTTCGAACAATCTTCACGTTGTCGACCTCCGAGCTGATGCAAGGACGTGAACTCTGGCCATTTTTCCGTTCGCCGATAAGTTTGTTGGTGAACAACGGCGACGTTCGTCACCGGCCAATGTCGGCGGCTAAATCCCTGTGAGATGCGGATATGGCAACAGGTGGAAGGATTATAGTTTGGGGTGTGTTTTTGAGAATTTGATTAGATGTAGGGACTTGACTACAATTATATAAACTTTTAATATATTACAATTGAGGACATGGGTTAAATGTGTAATTAACAAAAAATATAATTATTATTTTAATATTTATACTTGTTGTTTATAATATATAAAAAATAATAATGTTATAATATATATATATATATATAAAATAACAAATAATATTACAATTGAGAACATAGGTTAAATGTTTATATAATTTTATCGGTTCGGTGATTTTATAAATTTTAAAAATCAAAGCTAACATGAAATAATTGTGTTTCTAATAACAAATGCAAATAATTGAACCGAAATATAAAATTTCGAACTGAAAATGTTAGTTTGGTAGATATCGTGCAAACTGATAGTCATTAATGTGCATTTTGTATAACCATAATGTGCACTGTCAGTACATAAAAAGAATATAAGTAAAAAATAATAGTATTTTTTCAAATAGTTTAGTCGGTTCAGTTATTTTATTTTATTTTTTTTTAAAAAGGGCCGAGATCAAAGAGAAATAACTGTGATTTTAATAGTGAATACAGATAATCGAAACAAATACTATATCTTGAACCGAAAACTTAGTTTCATCAGGGTTGTTTGATATTTGTGCATTTTTATAGTCACTAATGTGCAATTGTATTGCATTCTTTTTTAATGGATTATCCAAAACAAAATAAAACATAACTGAATTAATCATTTATTAGTTCGATTAACCAAATCAATCTAAATAAATGAAATCATTTATAATTTATATTTATAATAAATATATTTGTATTTTAATATTTTTATTGTTTTTTAGTTGAAAAGTTGTAATATGTATATGTATATAAATATTATTTGTATTATATTATAATATATATATATATATATAAAAAAGAATATCACAAACACAAAATTGCAACCCGACAACCAATAATGTGAACGTTTTCGGCCGCTATTGTACAGTGTGTTATAACCGAAGTTTTGTCCCTACCAAATTGAAACCAAACATTAAACAATTTAAAAAAATTTTATAATGTGTAATTTAATTAAATTTACTATGCATTTATCAAATTATTTTATGTAATAAAAAATATATTTTAGTACTTATAATTTTTGTATTTAATACTCTATATTATTAATATAATTAACATTACCGTGCATTTGTTATACTAAGGTGCAATATCACTGACATAAAAGTGCAATTAGTGAGTCAATAATGTGCAATGTGTTCAATAACATTTTAATATTATCTTATTTCTATTTAATATTTTTACTTATTATCTTATGTATTTAAAAGATATATAAAATAGTATATTTGGATTTTATATATTTTTTTGTAAATTAAAGATTTGACCTATGGGTTGAATTGAAATATAAATAAAATTATAAAATTTACAACAAAGTCCATAGACATAGTATAATTCTCATAAATAAAACCCCCAATTCTAACATCCATAAAACCACATCTTCAGCCTCCTGTATCACCACCATCCACCCTACAGTCTCCATGTCTCTTCCAAACGAAGGTCGCCGGCGATGAGTACGGGCCGGTGGTTGGTGACTGCGAGAGGCGTCTGAACTCGGTGGTTGTCTGTGCATGGAGGTAGGATTGTGCTGGGACTGTATAATTATAATGGTCGTCGGTTGCTATCGGATGGGTCGGCTTCATCGAGGACGAGTCGCAGCGACCGGTAGAATGATAATGACGGGGACTGGTTTTTGCGGGAGAGAGAGAGAAAGTGGAGTGGGATGGTGGTGGCGGGAATTCTCCGGCGGATCGGTGCGTCACTCCGGAGGAATAAGAATATGTGGTCAGAATATGGTAGGGCGGAAGAAGAAGACGAAGGAAGTCGGACAATTTTCCGGCGTGACATCAGCGACATAAGATTTTCGGCAGCGGCGGACAAAATGTTGGGCGGTAAGACGGCGGCGGCGGCGCCCGAGGCGGCGGACGGAAGCTATCCGGTGACTCCGTGTGTGACAGTGTGTTTGTGAATTATAGTGTGTGTAAATGAGTGAGAGAGGAGAGTGACGAGGAGAGTGTATGCATGTGTGTGTAG